TCTATCAGTTGTTTCAGGGAACTCTTAACTATTAGCGGATCATAGTGAGTCTCCAGTTTTAGACGTACATAGTCAAATTAGTCAATATGCAGATAAATGAATTAATGGAATTTAAAACTTTTCTTATAAACACTTTTGAGCGGGGAAAAACATCAAATGACTTTTCGCGTCCAGTGTGATTGAGAGAGAATGAATAAAAGGGATTATACGACTCTTACTGACTAAAAACCACCCAGTACTTTCCTCTGTTTCGAACCAGGGTCACGGTACATTATGGCGCTTGCATCCGCAACCCCGGCTGTTCTTATCTAATCTCGACGTCTAACCAAGACTTTCTTTTGATACACATACCCAGTCGTTGTATTAAATCTAATCATAATTAAATCTAAACATGTTAAGGATTAAATAGTACATAAATAACGAGATAACTTTATCTAAGCATGTAAAGTCTATAGTGACGTCGAAACACGTGTGTAAATGAAAAATCAACATGATGTTTAATGCGTTCACCTGTTGCTGTGTCAACGAAAACCTGTGCCCGCGTCAAGTTTTGCTTATTAACTTAAGTAAAATCATCATTATTTAATAACGCATACATTTTTTTGCTGACTACACAAATGATGTTACTGTAATATTATTTTGCGTCATTCATCGTAGAGTGCCAAATATGAGTTCGCTTTGATTGGCTTTCTCGAAATTAACCAACCAATCAGAGGGCTAAAATCAATAACGTTCTATTCGCGTAAACGAAAAAAAAATTGGCAGTAGGCACTCTGTTCACTGATCAACCGTGAAATATGGATGGAAGCGGTATGTCCGCTACGCACGCACCTAGACCATCATTCAGCGGATGGTACATTACTTTGACTCTATTTCTGGATGCAAAAATATATTTACTACTACATGTATCGAGGTGTATTTTTGTACAGCAAACATAACCTACGTATGTTGCTCTGTTAGTTACGTACAGATAAATGTGCCCTTGACAGTTGGCATTCGATGGTGCGATTTCTGTTGAACATTGGCTTTTCAGCGTAGTGTGATGGGCCTTGTTTAATATAAATATAAGTATTACTATTTGTACATCGCATGCAAGATAAGATATTGCTTTTATACGTAGCATAGGTAAACGGAAAATATAAAAATAAAAAAGCATAAAATAAAACAATTATTGTGTGTTTCGCCGTGTGAGTGAGGTTACCGAAAGTTCCCCCTCCAAAATCTCTAATCCCAGACCTCACGGCCTTTTATCTCTTTTCTGGTGTTGCTTGATGATACATAATATGCCTATTTGCCGCCTTATATCATAAAGCACCGCAACCACAAGCAAAAGTCTCATTCCCATTGCAAAATCCTTCATAATTCTTTTTTGTAAAAAAATGCATATGAAGATTACATAGCTCCTTTTAAAGACGTATAATGTTGTTCGTATTAAATATTTATTTATTTAAAATTCTATTTTTATAATTGTCGTTGGTAAAGAAAACACGTCCGATGTTATCAGTCGTGTTAATAGAAACACGTACAGTCGTACAAACATACTAAAATTGTCAATAATATTGAAAAAAAACTTCAAACAATTCGTGATAAATTAATTATTATTATTACCTTTTTTCTTTAGGTAATAACTTTGTTGAATGCTGACGTTTGTATATTCAATAAATCCTTGGTTATATGTTATTGTGAAAAGAACTTAATTTCGTTTACAGATCTTTTACTGATGTGTACATACGGATCACCTATACATCATAGTTACATATGTATAGTTGAATAAGAAATAAGTACGCAGTTATGTAATGTAGTTTTTTGTAGACAGCCGTATAAATATTCGAACAAAATATAGCCAAATAAAAAAGTCGTAAAATGATTGCAACTAATCAACGTGAAATGTATGTAGATAACAATCCCTATTAAAAAATAGACACTTATCGTAGCAATCACTTATTCCTCTACAATCTAAAATATTTATTTCGATAAAAAATAAACGTTTCCCATCACTAAAGAAGCTTTAACCTCAATCGACCCCCAGAGAGACTTCGCACACGACCGGAAATTCCTGTCTGGATAAAAAAATCCTGTCTGTCTCTAGATGCCAGTGGCATGCTTGCCTGCATTCGAAAAATAAAAAGTTTTTATATTTTTTAATTCTATTTCACATGTGTTGGTATTACCCGAGTTCACCTAAGGTTTGCCGAGCAAAAAGAGCGTAGTAAATGTACTAATTTCTCTTAAGATTAATGTTTGGCCTGAACAAAAAGTGGTTTAATTAAATTTTGTTAGTTGAGCGCTAAGAGATCTAGTTCTTGGATTTCGGTAATAATGAGAAATGACGAAATCGAACCCGTTTATTTCATTTTCTACTAAAAAGGGCGGTCAGTTTATTGCCGTTTTTAGTTCTTAGTTTGATTTGTGCCCTGTGTAAGACGATAAGCCTCGACGTCGAGCTAAGTAAAAATACCTTCTGAGGAACCTTTTTAGTGATAACATGCAAGATTAAATATAAAAAAGAAATCAACTATCATAACAATTTACGTATAAACGCATGCATATAAGCGCGAGCGCATATCTCGTGTTGTTTAATACAGTTGCAACAGTGAATGGATCGCTAAGAAAGTGCAACGACCTTTGGTTAGTTACTGCGACATTGCTGTTTAGTACGGGACCCCATCGAACATAGGGGCGACCGACGACAAGGATTTTTTATGCACATTTATTAACATCGATAAATCGAATTACGTCGCTGCGCATGCGCGTGTTAGAATGTATAAGGATGGGACAGTTAAGTAAATATCGATTTTATTGAGATTTAATGTTCAACCTCAGCAGGTTTATCATAAAAGTTTTATGAAGATTATGTCTTCATTACTTTTTTAATAGTTTTATAGTACCTACCTCTTATGAGTGTTAATGAATAAAAAACAACACTCGAATAATAAAAACTCTTTGATGAATGAATACAATAGCTCAGTCGTATAGTAAAAATCACGTTGTACTTAAGTATTCCTTTTGGTCGGTCGCGGTCGTAGGTAGGTAGGTACCTAATAAAACGCACGAAACTAAGTATACAAATTTAATCTCATATTGAGTTTATTTAATCACGAACGTACCAACTGACCTCTAACTTAAATATGTTGATTCTTTCTAATAATTCTCAATGAAATTCAATAGGTATTTATATAAATATATTTATTTAATACTTCAAACGTGATTCTAGACCAGCTTAATTATATTTTTTATGGAATAGGAGGCAAACGAGCAGACTTTTTGTCGGGGGTTTTCTAAATTTTTTAATGCTACATTGTTACTTTTTTTTTGTGAGGCGATGAATATCAAATTACTTCTCCTGCTAGATAGCCAGGGCTACAAAATACTAACCCGAATATGTGTTAAGAACCTACATAAAGCTAAAAGAGCTATAATGACTCAAAGATATCAATGTCATGATCATAGGTGCCTACCAACTAAGGCTTATTTTCCAAACACAGGAAATAAACACGTTTCCGTGTGAAGCAAAATATGTAAGTGACTACTTTATAGTATCTACATATGCATAGGTACTTGCTAACAACCTCCCCACGTTCCATTGTTGGTTCAGTCGTGATAATGTTATTATAAATACACAATTTTATTTACATAACACATCGGTATTGTGACCTGACGTAATTTTGCTGAAGGATCTCTTTGGCATATTTAAGTACGGATTGCAGTTTTTTTATGTTATTTTTTTTATTTTAATGTTGATCCTACTTAGTATTGTTATAAATATAAAATTTTGTGACAATGTAGGGATAAAGATGTTTGTTATTCTTTTGTTATGTAGATAGATGATACCTTGGATTATGAATACAGGCTGCTTTTTATCAACGTAGGTACCTACCACACGGTCGAAGTCGCAGGCGCAAGCCGAGTGCATAATAATACTCATTATACAGAAAAGTGGAAATTATTCGGCATTTTATTGAAGTACACGATTCGTATGAAATTAATATTAATAACGTCGCATTTACAATGTACAGTGTATGCTATCGGTCTTCGTTAATGTCTTATGGATATTGAAACATGACGATCAATTCTCAACCTAACAGACAAATGTAGGTTAAGTGCAACATAAATTCACGAAAACAAATGCAGTATTCACAATTCGCAGAATCATCGTTTAAATTTGAACAAATAAAATTAAATCTGTTGATCTAAGCAATTTTTTATAAGGAGGTTACTAAAACAAAGTATTTTTGTAAACGTAAACCTTCTTGCTTGTTTCATATTTAACACAGTTTTTATAAATTTATTACTTTACCCTAAATCTAAAATGAATACAACTGAATAAAAGTTTTGCTGTAAACTGAAAGAAATTTTGAATACGAAACTTTTATGGAATTTAATGTTTATTATGTATCGGTTTCTTTAACTTGTAACAAGATAGTACCTAAGTACCTATTTGCAAGTCAACTTAATCTCAACTAAATTGGCTCTATATTGTAATTTCATCAACTTTTGTTGTGTCACGTTAAAAAGGAACCTTTTACATCAGTTTAGATCATCCATTTAACCTTAACATACATCTTTCTATTTCTAAGTGCTATAGAGGCACAGTCGTCCCAATACTTGGTCACGATTTACTTTTCGAATAATACTTAGATTTAAGTGTTATGATAAGCTAATAGATTTAGAGACAAAATTAATTAATGTGTTTGCTTAAGTTTCCTCGAATTATGTCATCAGACGATAAGTACTACACCAAGTAACTATTGCATTAGGTACAGAATAATACACATATTGACAAAAACTTGAATAAGGAAGTAAATCTATAATATAAAAATGAATAGCAAAATGAGTTGATAAGCTCATAACTCAGCAACGCCTGGACCAATTTTGCCAATTCTTTTTCAAGAGAAGGTTCTTATCGTAGAAAATATTTAATAAAGTGTTTGGGAATAAGTGACCCTTTCGTTGCAAGCGATATAGTAATAAAAGTGTATTTAAATATAAGAAATACTTACAGCGTGAGTGGTGTGACCACTATCACAAAATTTCGGCGTTCTCAACCCATCGGGATAGGACACTCGCGTAGACTGTGGAAGACGGTCGACTAGTGATCTAGACCGCTGCTGATCTGAAACAAAATAAACATGCAATTTTATTACTTTGTATCTATAGACTAGGTGTTCAGCTCCTACCGATCATAGCGTGATTTTTATAGCCTTAATCAATAGATGGTCCATTAAACACAAAAATATTTTTTTTAATTCTTCGGACCTGTAGTTCGGGCGATTAACGCGTTTAAACAAAAAAAACTCTTCAGCTTTATATATTAGTATAAATATTTGTGCACACACACACACACACCACACGAGTTGCCTTATCTAACTAATTACACCGTAACACCCTTTCAAGTAGAATCCTAATATCGTTTTGATCTCCGGTACTTTCGATTTTTGTTTTTCATAGTCTGTTGTGAAATAATCGGAGCCGATCCCAAAATTAATTGTGTTTTGGAAATCACATACTAACTCATAAAATGAACTACCTAAATGAAAAACTCTGAGTTTGTTTCGGCATTTCTTCTCAGAGTAGTCAGATGTAGTAGTCAGGCAATGCCGGCTTTTTTCTAGTTTTGTTATAGGTATGTATATAATTTTGTCGTACCTGTATTAGTGGAGTTTCATGGCCTATTTGCAAAAATAAATTCATTGCTTCAGTACGTAGAGGAAATGCTGGATATCACATTATTGATACATTTTCTTTTGTTCTTCTGACAAAGACACTATATAAACTAACATATACATTCATATTTCTAGTGGTATCTTTTTTTTGTGAGGGTAAAATCATCAAAATGACTTTACCTACCCAGGGTGGGACAAAAGGGAGCGTCAGACTGTTATGGACTAATAACCCCTATTTCCTTCTCCTGCCCTAGGCTGAGGCCGTGGTGCCTTAATTATTGCGCTTACCCCGTAACCCCGGCTGAATATTTCTGTGCCTTATACTGAACACCTAAACCGAAGTCACCTATCAATGTAAATTTATCTGCTTGATAAAATATACAAAGTACAAAATTTACTCCCAAGTCTTCGTCGTTACTAAAAAATCTTAAGTATAACAAATCGATCATTGCGTTCAGGCCAGAAAGAACCAATAGATATTGTCACAACGGGTAATATCTGGCTACTATTGAACAAGCAGATAAAATATTTAAGCACTTTTAATGGACGGGGAAACCCTAGTGGGCGTAAAACGATTATTTACTTAAAAGTACCTACGTCATAAATAGTATTTGCTTTACATACATCTAAGTCATATCTAATGTGTAAGTAATGATTCCACATGTTATTTTCAAACGTAATTCGATTATCGGATCAATTCCCAAACATGGTCATCAGCCGGAAGACGTCCATTGAAGAACTAACGCCTCCCCCTTAGTCTTCTACGTCGAACGAGAACTCGCCATTTGCATCATTTGGCTACCCGCGTATGACGATATCGTTCCCGAACATAGGAGATTAATTTTAAATTTTATGCCAATCCCAAAAAAGCACAACGATACCTGGGATTCATTCGGTGCCAGAGCAACTTATAGGAATTTAAAAACATAAAAAAAAAATTAACAAAAACTTGTTATCTACAAACGTTTGCCCTTGGATAAAGAGATACTGAATGAGAAAGACGCATCGAAATTCTTTACAATATCAAGCTAAATGTCGCGATGTCGTGTGATTTATGCACACAGAAACGATACATTGAAAAAAATGGTACAAAAACTGATTATTAAAGCACAAAATCGTGTAATACAAATCAAGGATTTCCACAACCGAAGTTTTCAATGGCAACGTACTTTAATGTATCGGTTACATTAAAAACGGGTTCGGCTGTTATCGTTTTAATGGTCGTATTTAATACCCGATTATTAGAGTAGGTGGTGTCGGCGCGGGCGACGGTCATCTGAGACGGTAGCAATTAGCTGCATGGTGATCACCTGTCGTTATAAACAAACGTCTGAGACGCGAGAAGACGAGATGAGAGGATCATTATTCGCGGCTCTCCCGGTGGCCTCACTGCTAAGAACCGCTAACTAATCACGTCATTATGTTATCTGATAAAAGTTTTTATGAAAGCCATCGTCGCCATAGCGACAGACTGTGTCTGGTTCGTGATGGAGGTCTGGTTTTAATAATGTAGGTAAATTATGATATTCTGTTCCGGTTCCGACTTTTAATTAGTATCACCTCTATTTTTGTGATTAATTTACAACGTGAATGTGATTTTAGAAGTCTTAATAGACGTTGGTCTTTTTTTAATTTCAATTCGGCTTCTGTGTAAAGAGTACCTAAAATTATTACGAATATTTGTCTTTAAAAAAATAGATAACATTGTTTTGCGAATCAAAAAGATCAGTTGGAAGGACGTTTTCCTTCATCGTTAATAGGAAGACCGTGGAAAATGGCTTTGGAGTCCTAATGTGATTACATTACATAGCAACAACTCTATAAGCGTAATGTCAGCTGTAGAATCCAATTCGAACAAAAACAAAACAAAATAGATACCCATGTAAAAATAATAAAAGTTATTTTCCAATGTCATCCAGCGATATTTTGTCGAGGTAGACGACGTGCTCTACGGAATATGAATGAACTTTTAGAACACTACAAACGTCACTTGGCATTCATTCGAAGAATGTTAATTTTTTTTTTTCGTTTAACATTTATTTGTGACTCGTGACGATGGCGATGGCGACGTCTGTGACGTCACAGAACTCAATTATATCCCGTGTCATAAGACTGAGATAAAATTAAATCATTTTTCCAGTTACTGATAGCATGATGACGTCAAAATGTGTGTACTTACACAGATAGAGGCACGATGAACGAACGAATTCTCAGACGGGCGGCCACTTAAAAACGTGAAATTATTTTCCTACAATACACAATTTAAAAGAACAACAAATTAGAAGTCGATTGAAATACACAAAATGCGTATCTATTTAATAGGTGTATTATGCATCTCCATTTCTATGTAGCAAGATCTTCTTCATTTCCTAAAAAAAATACCAATCTAGGAACATATTAATATGTTGTCTTTTAGCTAAACTTTTCCCAATACTCTAACAACCTCTTATCGATAACATTGCCATTGTTTTGAGGACACAAATTCCCAAAGTATAAAACCTCCTTGACCGATTTAAGAGTACCTACATTTCCATTGTTGAAGTGAAACTAATCCACTGAAGACTAGAACTCCAACCGCGGTCGACGTTCGCAATGTTGTGAAATGGAAATGAAATAGGTACAGGCAATCTAGAACCACGATTACTAGACCATTATCTGTAAGAAAATTAATGAGAAAGGAATCCAAGTGTGTTCATTCCACTTAGGACGGGCTAGATTTCGTTTTTGTGATAGGTCTATCGATAGGTCGATATTTTAAATACCGCAAATATTTGAATCATTCTATGAACACGTGATTAACAAAGAAATTAAAAAAAAATCATCAGCTTCCTCGTGACTTTTGTTCAGCTCATGAATAAGAGGCCCGTTGTGACTTGAAACTTGTAGAGTTTGACTTAGTTAATTCACGTAAGTAAGCCGTTATTTTCATTTGGCATGTTTCACGATAGTTACTATTCTAGCTTCATCAGTATACTTCTAATCAATCATAAGATAAAATTCTTCCGTTTATAGTGACTGATCTGAACTGTCTAATGAGCAGATAAAACAGGGCCAAAACGATAGACGTTATGCGTAAAACGTTCTTTAAAGAGTGTACATATGTACTTAAGTAGATATGTATTCAGAAGCAACCAAGTGCCTAAGTACCTAATGGGTTCATTGAAATTCCTAAGGGACGAATAAAAAGTTGTCTTTTGTTAAAAAAGCCAAAAAAACTAGCATCTATCATCTAAGATAATACAGAATTACAGGCACAACATCGGTGTGTTAAGTACTGCTAGTATTTTGACAAAAACCATTGGAATTGGCGATGATCCAACATTCTTAAAACTCAACGAGACGAAAGTATGGCCTTAGTTTCTGCCAGTAGCCCAAGGCAAAACAATGAAAGACAGGTAAAAGCCTCTAAAATTTCTCACGAACAAAGCAAAGGGAAATACAATGAATAATGAAAGACAATTTAGAACAATATTAACTCCGTAATAACATTCCGACAAGCAGGATAAAAGGACGGACACTAAATACCCAGTTATAATAGTTGTTAACAATTACCACTCTTTATAATAAGGAAGGTAAAGATTAAACTAGAACCAATAATCAATTTCAAACTATTTTCAGTCTTGTAATAAAAACGGTTTAGATATTAACTGAAGATAAATGAAACGAATAAAACAATAGCGGTAACCGTTTGCGGTATCGGAAAATCACTATAGTACTTAGTATAAGATACAATAATAAAAACAAAGTAGCTCTCTGTGTCCCTGTATCCCTTATGTATCCTTATATCTTTAAAACTTCGCAACGGATTTTGATTAAATTTTTAATAAGTTTTGTGATTTAAGAGAAGATTTAAATGTATAAAATATTCACCAAATAATGGAGAAATGAAGTACCAGTATTACATTTGTGAGAAGTTAGTATTCGATAAAATTCATAAAACCGGTTCTATAGAGTCTAGAATACTGTGTAGGTTCCTATTAGCATGAACAAAAAAATACTTTGTCTTATTCCTGCAAATGAAACTGCTATAAGCTTTCTCCTAGCCTTATCACAGTACGTTTTAAGATTGGGACTGAGCCTCATTTGCATGTTGATGATAACCAAGTCCAAGGACTCGTCAAGATCGGAACACAAATTAATCAGAAAAAATATATGAGAAAATAAACCATGAAGCGAGAGACACTGGCATAGGCAAATTAAGTTATACATGTCAAGCAGTAAGACAAATCGGTAATCAATCCTTCGACCAATCGATTAGCATTAACATACATTATAATCGATTTCCGTCGTTTTCGAATCTTATCGATTTACAACGCCGAACGGAAATCGATTGTTATTAATGAACGATGCATTTTCCTTATTTTATGATGCTAATGGCAGTTTACAAATAAATGTCACGCACGTTGTTTTTGTGGAGCAATATGGTGATAATGGAAATGTATGTATGTATCACGTGGCATTTTATTATACCTCGATACTAGTAACCCGTCCACCATTACACTCGCGATAAAACTTTCTTTAAGAATCGCTCTATACTTCGATTAAAGCCACATAAGAAAACGTTTAGCAATTTTCTGGTTTATCGCTGACGGACAGACGATATGTAGCGAGAGACTGTTTTATAATGTCCTATTAATATAATATAATGTCCTATAATGTATATTGGGCTTTTGGGTACATACCCTCTTACATCTATACTAATATTATAAAGAGGTAAAATTTGTAAGTTTGTATGTAGGGGATAATCTCTGGAACCGCTGATCGGGTTGCCAAAATTCTTTCACTGATATATAGCTACAATGTTCCTGAGTGCTGTAGGCTATAAAACATCACGCTACGATCAAATGGAGCCGAGCAGCGGGTGAAACCGCGCGAGAGTAGCTAGTGTTTATAAAGAAGTCCCATTTCGTGTCTTCCCTTGTACGTATACGTATATAACTGCTATTTACTTTACTTAACAAGAGTATGGATTTTTGTAGGGTTCTCACTGATATAATGTGATTTCAGAGCAAATAAATTAACAGTTTTTCATAGTTAGTAGAGTAAATAGCAGGATAAATATGTAGAATAATTAGTTTTAATAGATGCGATGTATATAGTCAGATAGATAACTATACAGCAATAGTTCATAATACGCTACATATCACACCTTTGGACATAACATAGTTTTGTTATTATCTTTTATAAACTACATACAACTGTTCTTCATAAATTATCTATATGAATCATGGAATAACACACATCACACCTTTTTATTCCATGAAGCAGTTTACATACGGTGCATTTCTGAAAACAAGTTGTGCTGCAGATAGTCTATTTAAAAGACACAGCTGTGCCTCTTTTAGGTGCTGATGATGGCTTCTTCACCCTGTCCCTTCTCGCGCCTAAAGAGCCAATAGACCACCACAGACGAGGCCCTATAGGGCTGATGTTCAGCTGGGGTTGCGGGGTAAACGCAATGAGGCACCGTGACCTCGTCCCGGGGCAGAAGAAGGAACGCGGGGATTTTTAGTCGGTAAGAGTCTGACACTCTCTCCCGCCCTATCATGGACGGGGAAAGCCATTTGATGATTTTCCCCTCACAAAAAAACCCTATCCCTTCTCCTCCTCTAGTTTCGTAGTACAGTGGGGTTGTGGTACAATATTACGCTTAACTTTTAGAGGTTTCCCTTAGGCGGAAAATTAGGAGTGTATTGCTGTCCAATAGAAACTAGACGAGGTGTTGTCGTCAAATTATTTTAAACTCAAATAAACTACTAGTAAGGTAGCAAATTCAACTACCTATAGTGAGAAGTTACGTCCATATTAAACTACAAGAAGGGAGAACTGTCAGTGTTTCCTCTGCATTGATTGACCACAACTATCTTAAGGATTCTCCTAGTTCTCTTGAAGAAGATATAAGCGGTGACATAGGTAACAATTATTTATGTATTCTAAGCATTTGTTTGAATTGGACGTTGGGACGTGTAAGTAATAATGAAGATTGTTATACACAGGTATGTAGTTACTGTGATTATATGGATCGTGTTAATTTATCATGTGCACGATACATGATTATTGGATGAATAGTTTCCACTCCAAGACACTTTATGCAAACTTAAGTATTATACCATTATTCTTCGTAAACAAGACAAACAGACTAATTAATCTTCCAAGAAATTAGAAATTAACACTTCCTTAAAAGATAGAGCCATTAATTCTCATTAACTAGATTCATGTTCGTTATTTTGGCTTAGAACTAAATGAATGAATCATTGGCATTTCCTTATCAATCGATCAATCTTATCACATAGTAACAGAACTAACAGTGTACCGACATACTGGTTCAATTATAGGAGAATTCTGTGGTTTAACCGAGCCGTAACACAGGCTGCTAATTAGCGAAGCACCGTTACCACACATAAAAGCCATTTAACTTAATTCAAGGCAGAAACCGATAAACATTATTTAAGTATATTTAAGAAGTTTCTAAGTATTTGACCTTATGAAGTATTATATAGAGATTATTTTAACTTGAACAGTTTGGATTTGGCATGAATAAGTTTGCAGTACAGCGTCTGCTTTACGGCGTGCTCTAAATATAACGACCACGTGCACGTTTAGGGGACAATGTTCGGAGTTATTCGGTTCATAAAGTGATTTGGGGTCAGATGCCGTTCGTCTAGACACCATTGTGACAAAAATCTCTTCTACGGTTCATAGTACGGACTCTTACTTTTTATGAATGACTTACTACGAATATATGAGGAAGAATATAGTATTCAATGTGTATTACATTTATTTAACACTGTCCTCTTTTGTCCTGCTCTCAAAGTTAAAGGTCGACAGAAATTTCATCTCGATGAAGAGAAAGTTAGCAATAACAACCTCTACTCTTATAAACTTGCAAACAATAAAACGATTATAAAAAACAATATTCTCGGAAAATCTATTATTTCCTGAAAACTAAGTAAAATTGTGCAATATGTTAACAACGATAGTGTGAAATACCTAATGGAAAAATATATGAAAATGTACTTACGGTTTCATCGATTTTCCTCTCGAAATTCAGATATTAAAGCCTTTGCGCAGATTAATACGAAAGGACTACATTTGAAAAGGCACTATTAAGGGCTTTCGTGTGAACTACAATGAGCCCTGTAGCGACACGACTGCTCGTTATTACATCGAAATGACGAGTGGCCGGCCTGTTGCCTAGCGATGGCGCTGCGGGCACCAGGCGCAAGCGCCGCCTTGTAGAACTCCCATCGTGCTATGCGACAATAGCTCTTAGTGACATCCACGGCATAAAAGTGTATCCCAATCAAATAAACCTATTAAACGCAACTATTAAACTATCAATATACGGTGAACGTCTTTTATGATATCCTACGTTTTCCCATAATATATTATAGTTGTTCATTGGTGATACTTTATCATATAGCATTAAAAATAATGGAATATTTTATATCAGTCAATATTAAGTATTATTTCGTCACTCTTAACGTTTTCCTCTGTCTACTTTAAATTGTTATTCAATTCTAACACTTGTAACGCCATCTATTCAATACAATAGACACTAAAACCAAAACAGGATAGGTAGTTTCAAAAAATTCCATTGGATATCTTGTTGATTGTACTACATACCTTTATTGGAACTACCACGCAGAATCACTAGATGGCGCTACTAGTCATTCAGATATAAAATAATATTGATAAAATGATTATCATATTTCTACGCATAATTTCAACAAATTAAACTTGAAATAAGCTGTTCTTTAGTAGCAAAAAACAATAATAGCGGTTTTCTAATAATAACCAAAATTTACAAGGCTTTTTAATAAAAAATCGTGGTTATAATCGTGTTGAGTGAGTTAAACATAAATTATCATAATTACGACGTTCTGGCTAGATATTGTCCACGGAGTAAGAACAAAGATATTGTCTTTTCAATGATAAATTATACTGTAGTAAAGTTTGACGATATTTTTGGAACTAAGGTCAGTTAGTTTTGTTTTAAAAAACCATTAACACTCGCAGAGAATCATAAAAAGCGAATATCACTTAATTCAAATGTTTTTTTGAATTAATTCGTTCGCAAACATAAATAGGTTAAACCATTGGGTTAAACCTACTTATAGATTTAAAAAATGAAAGCTTTGTCTTGCAACCTGCTAGCTGTTTGACAAACGTCCGACAAACCAGCTAGACGACCGTGATGAAAAAATCAACCTTTACTCAAAACAAATACCTACATTAATTTAAATTCAAGAATAAAATTTTAAAATTCAAGAGAACACGCCATTCAAATTGAATTTCTACTTTTTTTCTTTTTTGTTGAATGCACCATGGCCTCAAGAGATAACTGTACACTTAGGCAAATATTTAGTTTTTTAAATTAATTCAACATGACAGAAGCATTTAGAACCTAACTAAGTACATATGTAACAAATTAAAGGAACGATCAAAATAACCCTAATATTATCTACTAATGAAATACAAAATGAGGTCAATAATAATAATGATTAAGTATGTTTAAATTGTTAAACACGTGTTATATTATCTACTGTTTTAAAGACCGAAGCGCATCGAGAACGGTCTGGAAAATAGCTTACATACATACATGCATACCACATATATGCTATCTACATATACCCAGCTACGTAGGTATCGTTCGACGAGACAGTCTGGTTTTATAATATTGAATGCAATTACCTACATAGGTAGGTACATATTTGCTTATATGTACGTAATACATCTCATTCATATTGAAATCAAATTACGGACATTTAAAATAAAATGTTTTTTTTTTATATCTATTCGTTGCACACTGATTAAGAATGGAAAACCTAGTCAATTGCATGACTTGTAATTTTTTGTTGGACTTAAAGCCGGTGTATAATTAGAACAAATGACTACACACGTAATGATGTTGCCACGATATCCGTGGTAGGAGAATAGCAATTTGTGTACACTGACAGTGTTAGGTATTGTGTGTCAAGCTCAGAGACCTTGGGGAGTTACGTGGCGTTATGTTGTGTTCCCCGACCGCGACCTGCCTCACAACGAACGATGGCTCATCGTCACAGGTCAACGAACTCACGATGTACCCATTTACCTAATGGTTGCTTCCTATCTTTGACGCCTCCCAAACTTTATCGTCTCGCTACGTTACGCATTATCGCTGAAATACTCCGATTCACATTTCTATTGTGACGTAATGCCTCATAATATGTGTGATAAATATAGGTTTTGTAAGTATTGACGTTTACCAAGTTTTCGTTTGGGTTTGGGAATCAAAATATTTATACCTTAATCTGTTTTGAAAACACGATGCCGATGGAGCGAAAGCGGGAATCCTCTTTTATATGTATATTGCCACGTGTGGACTTGTGACCTGACTAAATTTGGTAGGTTGGTACATCTGATATTTAGCTATAAGTAGATATACCTATACTAGGTGAGTTATAAATATAGTAAGTACCGAAGTAAATGTTTATAATTATAACTAGGTGCTTACACCCTTTTTAATTTAATTGCCATGTAAAATAGTGGATTATTTTTACGATATACACCTACTAGGTATTAAGTTCTTGCTACGTAGGTAATTTTAATGTTTGTTTATGCGCTAGTGTAGGTATGTACTTATAGGTAGGTAGGTACATAGATATTTGTTTCATACAAATTATAACAAGCTGTTTATCTTTTGTACACATAAGTATACCTATAAATAAATAAAGTATACACATGTAGAGGCATGTAAATAGATACTTCAATAGCCTAGAATCTAAAATAAGTACCTACAGTTACCTATTTAACATACCTACCTCACATAGGAATTCTGTATCGTGAATGCGTTTTCAAAAAATATTATTTCACATACCTAATATATCTATAAGTACTTTTAATATATCTGTAGATAGGTCAATTCTGTGCATTAAATATATTTTCAAAATAACTATCGGGGGCTGATTAGTGATCGATAGGTACTGATGCCGAAAATGTAATCTGTACAATTTGTTGTCTGTCATGTATGTTCTGTGTCATGTATGTTCCTTATAGAAACAAAAACCACTCGACAGATTTTAACGAAACTTGGTACAATTATTATTTATATTCCTGGGCAGGTTATAGGATACTTTCATTACGCATTACAATAATTAATAGGAGCAGAACAGTGAAGGGAAATGTTGGTAAAATGGGATAAGTAATTTCATTTTTTAGCTTCCGTCGCATGTGTAGCTTGAATGGTTAAAGTTACATAGAAATCATATATCACGGGAATGTTACACATAAAATTGTCTACAAAACTCCCTTCAGAAGTATACATCTTTTATGGTTGACTCACAATAACACGTGTAACTCTTGATAGCTCCGCAATTTCGGAGTAATCTGATTATATTTTTTTCTTACTCTTACATTTACAATACTCTCACTTATTCCTATTAAAAACCTTACCATTATCTATTCAATAAAAAAAAGCATGATAGAAATCAGTATACTTAATTATATGTCCCTCCGCGACGCCATGCTTTTGATTTGTTGTGAATTTTCCTGTGTATTAGCCTAATGACCTGTGATCTACGGCTACATAGTAGTAATTTGAATTACCTAAGTACGTTTTTTTTTGGGAGTGGAAAATCCTCATGGAGACCCATCACCCTCGGGGAAGGGCGAAGGCCTGTTCCTTCTCCTGCTCTGGGCCGAGGTCGCTGTGCCTCGTTGCGCTTACCCCGCAACCCCGGCTGTACCTACGTACGTAAGGTGAAATAATAGCGAAAGTAATGCGAAAGTAACTCTGACTGTCTGTTTGTCTCGCCTTCTCACCCAAACTAACTAACCGATTTGGATAAAATTTAGTACAGACGTAGTTTAAACTCGAGAAAGGACATAGGATATAATCCTGGGAATTCAAAAGATGAACTTCCCGAAAATCTTACTAGTTCGAGAAGTTCGAGAACGATGTGGATACCTAAAACCAAAAATCTGCCAGAAGTCACTATTCCACGCGGACGAAGTCGCGGGCAAAAGCTAGTTTTTTTTTTTAATAAAATATCAAGATTTTGGATTGATTAAAAAATCCGGCGTAAGAAAACTACATCTTTGTGTTTCACCGTGGTTACCGGAGGCCGAATCCCTCCCCCTTCCCCATCTCTTCCCGATATTCGAAGCCCTTATCCCCAAAAGGCCGGCAACGTACTCGTAACTACTTTCGTGTTGCGGTTGTCCATAGGCAGCGCTGATTGCTAACATCAGGTATGGTCAATACCTCAGCTTGTTTGCCGAGATTAATCATAAAAAGAGTTCAAAATTTCATGATTTTTAAATTCCTCCAAAATAAATAGGTGACGTAGATATCTTAGGACCTAAGTCTCTTTTTATTAATTCGTTTTTATAGGCTAACACACGTTTTTGTTCGGCAAGATGACTCGACCAGTTTCAAACCACGGTTAGGGCTTATCTATGTTTATAAGCAGTTTTGTGCGTTTTGTTTAAGTGTGGGAGAGCCATGTTTCGGCACGAATGGGTCGGCTCGACTGGAGTGATACCACAGCGTTGTGAAAAATATTTGTAAGACCCTGTAAGACCTTACAGAAAACCGGCGTGAAATAACTACAGCGTTGTGTTTCGCCGTGTGAGTGAGGTCACCGGAGGCCCAATCCTTTCCCTCCGCCAATCCCTCCTCAATCCCTAAATCTCCAAATCCCTAATCCCTAAAAGGTCGGCAACGCACTCGTAACTCCTCCGTTGTGGGTGTCCATGGGCGGCGCTGATTGCTTACCATCAGGTAATCCGTCTGCTCGTTTGCCGGCCTATAACATAAGAAAAAAACATACGGCGCGGTCCTTTTCCGCTGTACATTACAAACTGCTGCGCTTGGACGCAACCCCGTCTGGTGAAGCAGGTGACAGAACTTTAATTTACTTATTTTTGTGGATTTATGTGTAAAAGGCAATTTAAATTATAACTAAAACTAGCTTCCGCCCGTGGCTTCGCCCGCGTTGTATGTATGTTGATAAAAAGTAGCCTATGTCCTATTCCGGAGTGCATCCTATGTCTGTCAAATTTTATCCAGATCCGTCCAGCCGTTTTGGCGTGATTGAATAAAAAACATAACAAATACAAACACCGTAACTTTCGCATAGGTAATTAAAATATTTGTAAGTATGTACTTATAGCCATATATTCTACCCCATACTACAGACTA